CCAGGCTAGATACAGAGTTGAATGATGCATGCAAGATGCCACAACTGGATCGGGCAACGGAATCCTCCTGTGATTATTCTTCATGGCCACATAGAACTGGCTGAAGTTCCAGAGGGGCACCTTCTCCACATATGGTGGACCTCGGGTTGAAGACACAGCTCTCTTTGTAAATGTGTATGGGGGTGTGTGCCAACATGTTCCAATATAATGTGTATATATAACATGTATAGATCATTATAGATTAATAGTTTATCTTATTTTGCAGCTAGGGCTCTGATAGAAGGTGCAGAAGAAGCCAGATCAAACTCCTGAACACCTTGAACACCTGAACTCCTCAGAGATCCGCTTGGATATCCGGCTTCTTGTTCTGGACGGTAGGGTCCCACGGATCTGCCGAGTTCAATGTTCGTCACCAGCTTCTTGACGTGCCCAGGCCTAGGGCATGGACCTGCCAAGGGATTGGAAGTGGGATTGGACATCATTTCACTTCCATAAAACTTTCAAGTATGAGGACACCTGTTTTTTGCATACCTTGAGATCTTCAACCTGCCTGTCAGGCCCAGGGCATTTGATGGGGCCAGAGATGACTCTGAGCTCAATGTCTCTGGGTGGTGCTCAGTCTCCTGAATCTCCTCCTTCTCCTCAATGGGAACTGGGTCCTCTGGAGCTGGAGCCTCAGGGTGGCTCTACAATCCACTATTCATCAACCCTCCCTTCCATGATTTTTTCTTTGAAGCATGACACTAACAAATAATCCCAGTCCTTGTGTGTGGACTGTGTGGAGGGAGGAGGAACCACTTGACCCTCAACCAACAGCCACCTGTCACCGTCTTGGTCGCAATGGGCCCTGAGCTGAGCCTCATTGACCTCTTCCTGAGCTGATTCCTGAGCTGGGGTGAGGTCTGCCATGGCAATGCAGCTGACAGAGTAGGAGCTGGATGCTGGGGTGCTGGGTGCAAAATGGCTGAGGCTGCATAAATCATGTTCAAAAGTCATCATGATCAAATGTCAAGATATAAATACCTCTGACTGTCCACTTACTATATATACATATTCCTGCCTATGCCTGCAAATTTAGACTGAATGAAATGCTGCTGATCTCACACTCTGGGAGGCCCCAACCGTTGAGGTAGTTGAGGATGATGGTCTTTGCCAGGCCTGGCCAAAGCATTTTTGACTGGTGTATGAAGCAAGAAGAACAGTGCTACAGCACAGGCAGCCAGAAACCCCACAATGGTAAACAAGCTTACCAACTACAGCTTCCCCTCACTCTCCTTAGACCCACAGTCTCTTCCCAGGCGCCTACACCAGGATGCACATGTGGCCTCAGCAAGCAATCCGTCCACAACTTTAAAGCAATGTCAGGGTTCAGTGTGGGGGGTGGGCGGAGTCAGGATGTGTGCTTGTGAGCCAGCCTTTTTCTGTGCAATGGTTCAGTGACAAACTACTGAACTCCTGAACCCCTGAACTCCTGATTCCTTGAAGTCAGAAGTCAGAAGTCAGGCCTGTACACCTTCCCAAAGCTGCAGCGCCTTCTTGCAAACTTGAGCAGGCGGCTTCTCACTGTGCCTCAAGTCCAGCTGCCAGGTTGCAACAAAAAAATTGCCTTACTATATTATTAAGTCTGAAAATAAAAAAATTTACGGTAAATTTCCCAATCATGCCTAGTCACTGCCAGCAGTCTGAGCAATTACCCTTGCACCATGTCCAGCCCTTGCGGTTGAGGTGCTCCACTTCCACCTCATGCCCCAAACCTAAGATGGGCATTAAAGTTCAGAAACCAAACCTGATGTTGTTTTCAAAGTACTAGGTGCAAAAACTTACAAAGCAAAATGTGCTAATGGATTGGTTCAAAAGTGAGTGGCATCGCAGGAGGTGCCCGAAAATGATTGCAGCTGCCACAGACCTATGTCTCCCTGCTGAGCAAGTGAAGGCAATGGAGGTGGCTCCACCACTGATGGCTCCCTTCACTCTCTGCCTCTGATGGCTTCAAAGCAATGCAATGATGCAAAAGTGTAATATACAGCTAAAAGCCTGGGGTCCCTTATGTGGTGCCCCAAAAAATTGACAAGGCTGATTCAATCCATCCAAGCCACGCTAAATTGCTGAATTCTGGGCAGTTCACCAGGCCAGACTGAATGCTGGGGTTGGTCCCCATGTGCTTCGTGTCTGCTGCTGGGTCATGAAAATGGTGAAGTGGGAAGGTCATCTCAAACTTCTTCCTTGGACAGGTGGGACTCACATGCTTCTAACCAGAAATCTTTCTCATGCTTACAATAACCTTAAAGTAAAAATGATGCTAGATGATGGTCCAAGCTTCACATGAAACCTATCACCTGCTTGTTGCAGCCCTGCTGAGTAGATGTAGATCTTGGCAAGATTGCCACCCTCAGCATCATCATCCTCTGGCACCTCCAGCACTTCTGCCTTTCGCTTCTTGGGTGGGGGCTGCTTTGGTGTTGGGGGTAGCTTTGGTGGTGCCTTTGGTGCCTTTGATGCCTTTGATGGCTGCTTTGGCTGCTTTGGCTGCTTGGAAGGCTGGGCAGGCTTGGAAGGCTGGGCAGGCTGGGAAGGCTGCCCTGGCGCAGGAGGTTGGGTGGGGGGCCTCGGCTTTGGCTTTGGGTTGGACCCTGGCATTGGGTTCCATGGTGGCCTTGGAGGCACAACCACTGGGTTCCCTGAACTGGCAGGTGCAGGTGCAGAACCCTGCTTGGCCCACCACTCTTTTCTCTGGTGGCCTCTATTGCGACCCCAGTTCCTCCCCCACCACCACTCCTCAGGAGGGCAAAAGCCACAGAAGAACATGGCAGCAGCAGGGCTCAGGAAACTCCTGAACACCTGAACACCTAAAAACTGTTGAACTGCTTGAACCCCTAAAATGATGGAAGCTAGTTAGCATGTTCAATGATTAGTCTACTGATTTGGTGTGTGGCTGCCCCTGTTGCTTCTTTTGAGCCCACAAAGCAGCCGTGCAGAGGTTGACAACTGTCAAGCATGCTGAAGCAGTCTGTCACTTGCATCTCTCTGGGGTCCCAGGCTGCTGGAAAACAAGTGAAGGAGAGTGTGAGCCAAACAACTTTGGATGAGGCACATGCACATTATAACACTTCTATCAAGAATTACAGAAGGTTTCATCTTACCATCATTGTATAGTTTTGAGACAACTTTACCTAAAGGGGTCTCCTCTATGAAGTTATGAAGTAATTAACTAAATGTTCTAAGGAGACCCCTAGAAGCTATTTTGAACTTTATTATGATCAAATACCAGTTAGCCTAGCAATTTGTGTTGGGCATGAAAGTACCTATGTCTGACACAAAGAAACATACATGACAAAGTGTTCAACCCAAAATAAATCAATGCATACGTGCATGTATTCCTTCAGACTCTCCAACTACAAGTGATAAAGGTCTCACATGTCCTTTGATTTCCATATACCACTTCCTCATTATATGTATACCACTTCTAGTTGAAGAGGTTTCAATATTGTTTGGACCGACTCATGCACCTTGCCGTTCCCTCACCATTTTCCCAACGTGGTAACTGAGTCACTGAAAACAAATGTCAGAGTGTGTTTCGCTCAGCCATCCCACTCGGGTGCTGAGTGTGATCCCCGTCACAGGGGCACCGTTTTTGCATAGGAAATCATCCACCCCAACTTGCCACCTACCACTGGATTTCCACTGGAAGTCATTGACACATCCATAGAATCAACTGATGCATTGGCCGCCGGGCCCAAAAACGGGATTACTTCGACAGCCGCCGGGCTATAAAACGGTGCGGTGCTCAACCCCCAATGAGGCAGGTTCCCCAACCCCCCCCCCGCTGAGTTCTACTCCCTACCTATTTAGGGCAACATAGGGAAATGGTACTCGACACACTTGTGTGTCGGTGCCTTTCCCTGTGTTGTTCCTTTTCTAGTCTTTCCTACCCGGGCGGTCTAAGACTAAAGTCCCGCTCCCTAGCTATTGCACGCAATTCATTTCTGCTAAGTAATCAGTAATTCTAGAGGGCTAAGTATTCATACACACACACGGACACACACACACATGTACATACACTTCCCTGCCCCCCGCTTTTCCTCTTACGCCTTCGGTCGTTTCTTGGGCTTTCTCTCAGGCTTTTTAGGTTGTTCTTGAGGCTCGTTTCCCTACCCCAGTCAAGGGCTAAGTAGTCATTTTTCCTACACCTATCTTTCTTTCTCCCCTCTTAGCGCTGCTCTTTCTGTCTTTCTTTCCTTTTGTTTCTAAGGCTTTTTAGGTGACTATTTAGGTTTTTCACATGCGCGCCGCGAAGCGGCGCCGTATGTGTGCCACCGTTCTTCGAAAAAGCGCTGAAGCCGGCGATTTGTGTGTGTCCACCCCTGGACAAAGGGTTCTCAACCAACTTCGGCAGGGGGACTGTCTACCCCACAGAAGTGACAGTCCAACGAAGAGGCTTCTGTGGCGGTATTGATATCAGTTCCGGACGCGGAACTGACGTACCTGCTTTCAACACATTGACTCCACTGGTCCACCCTGCCGCTGTTCGTTGTTTCATGGTCCTTCTTCATGCTACTTTCCCCACAAACAGGTTTTTCCACTGCACTTCTTAGCCGATCGTGATTTGCAGCCAGCCGCCGACTGCAGACTTGCACCTGTGGAAACATTTTTTAAACAATACTGTTTGGACCGACTCATGCGCCTTGCCGTTCCCTCACCATTTTCCCAACGTGGTAACTGAGTCACTGAAAACAAATGTCAGAGTGAGCGTATACTATGAGGTATATAAATTGTACGTAAAACTATTCCGTACATGGTTTGGGATGGGTGGAACATGGCAACGTGGCGGAAGGCTGAAACATTGTTTGCAGGATCATTGTGCAACAATAGGATGTAAACATATTTGGGCCCACCTAGACCATTTTGCTCAACCATTTTTATGTTTTCTATGTGAGTTCCTTTGGGAGTACCCTTCCGAATGTTATTTTTGTGGGGTGGACTTTCTCACTGGACTGCATGAGGTACTTCTCTGACTGGCAAGACGCTCAGACAGACAACTTCTGGCAGCGAAAGTCTAGAAAGGCCTGCCTAACATGAGGATGCGGAATGATGCGGAGGGGTGTGGCATGGAATTGCCAAACCAGCCATGCACCAAACTCATCCAAATCATCCGATACAGATCACAGTGTCAAAAACATTGAATTACACCAGCATCGACCCAGTTAAGAACATTGCAAACACAAGCTGTGGATTTGGACCAATGCAAACGTGTGCTTTCAAGAACATGAGGCAGCATTTCCAAATGCATAAGCATGTTTTCTCAAAATACAAAACATATGTCACGTATTGTGCATATATATACATATATAAGAAGCATGTGTTTTGAGAAACCGGACGTTGCAATTTTAAAGTCACAACTCTGGCTTGTCAGAAGGATAGAAGCGTGCTCCATGTTCAAGAATATTTGTGCCTAATTATGACTACACAAGCGTGGGTTCAATCCCTGGGTGCCGCGGACAGGCAACTCACTACCCCACCCCTGCAGTAGCTAGGGGATGAGCTAGGCAGGGTGTGGACTCTGAAAATAAAACACAACAACGCATACCGTTTTGCACTGCTTGAAATGCATCTGTGCATTTAGAGTTCGGAGGCATGTCATGATTTGAGAAGCGGACCATGGTATTTTGCGTGATGTTGCATGCATATTTGCAACGCATAAACTTGTCCTTTCAATAGCGCGGCATTGTTTGATGTTTTTTCTAGCAATTACTCTGCATAATTCGCGCAATACAAGCGTCCCTTTTCGGAAGCGTGACGTAGAATTGAGCGAGCTTCACCCTTCCGAATGCATACTCGTGTGTATATTCAGACATGCATTTCAAGAAATGCAAGCCAGTGTTTTCGGACACATGACCTTACATGTCCAAAGTCCAAACTTGGGCCTTTTCAACATATTCACAAGATCATGTGTACATTTCGAACCATAGAAGCACTCATGTTCAGAAACCGTTCCCTGATGTGAGAAAGGAGACTTGGACAAGCGAAGGTTCGCCCGCGCACATGCTATAATGATCATCCGGCGATCATGGCTTCACTGAGAAGACTTCTGTCAATGAGATCCACAGGTTGCCTGTGGAGAGACAAGAAGGGAAACAGCGGGCACAACTGAGGAAATCATGTAATAGGTTGCCATTGGGCAGGCAAGAAGAGAGACAAGTGGGGGAGACGAGCCAGCAGGGAGTCAAGAAGGGAGACCAGTGGGGATTCGGGCCATGACAGGATCCCAGCCGGGAGAAGGGAGACAAGTGAGGAAATCATGTCATGCCAGGATGCCAGTGGGAGACCTTCAGGAGGGAGACAAGTGGGGAAATCATGTGGTGACAGGATGCCAGTGGGGAGACAAGAAGGGAAGCAAGTGGGGAGACCGTGGGGAAGTCCTCTTGTGACACGATGCAATTCTTGGAAAGCCAGTCGTATCCCAACAGCAGGCTGTTTGGGACGAAATGCATCAAAACGAGCAGCACGCAAAGGGTGGTGTATGGACATTCCTGACGATATTTTCATGTATATATCATCCAAAAACAACTCCTTCCGTGGATGACTTCGCTCGTGTTCTTGGTTTGCATGATGACTCGCTTCTCCCTCCGTGTTCTCTCCATCGCGCCCGTCGATCCCGTTCGGGACGTCCCGTGGGACCGGAGACCGTGTCGTCGCCCGCAGGTGGTCATCTCTGTGGTGGTTTGCGCCCAGGAGGATGGAACCCTTCACGCGCTGCGAGGGATGAACACCGAGGTCTGCCTGCTGGGGGTTGGCAGCCAGGGGTTGGTATATGGGTGGTCTCATTTTTTATATACAGTTTGGCATTATGCTATTTTTGGAGATTGACATGTAGTGAAATGCAAACACTAAACTCGCAGGAACCTAGGACATGTTCTGCCAAAGCCCGTTGTTTACCTTTTTGTTGGTGCCGTTTGTGTGTTTTGGTTTGTTTTCGCATGCAATAGCAACTCCACAATACTTGATATAAATTGATATACTTGTAAGTGTATATATATGTGGAAATCTGTGCACCCTCAGTCTGCAGATCAGTCGTGGCATGATCCCCATTTCGGTGGACGCCGGGCCATGGCTGCCACTCATCGGTTTCCGGTTTGGGTCGACGCGCAGGTCAGCTTGCCGTCCGGTTCCCTGTGCGCGGAGCGTGCGGGCATCGCTCGGGCCGCCAGCGAGTTCTTCCACGCGAAGAGCATCAAGGCGAGCAGCCGGGACCGGACGGGGAAGTGTTGGACAGGGCCGACACGAACGAGTGTGGCATATTCTTCAGGAACACCATGAGACCAGATAGACAAGGGGTGGGGGTGAAAGATGCCGCAATCAAAACAACATGCCGTTGTACGGGTTGCGAACATCTGACGGGGCGTCCTGTTGTACGGGACGCGTCGGTTTCCGCAAAGACGTCACGACGTCTTTGGGAATGACGCCGGTCCACGGCATTTGTTCTTGAAACGGCAATGATTTGTGCCGTTTCCAAGACCCAGGTATATAATGGTATATATATACATGATTAGAAAGAGATATGGTTATAGTTTCAGAATGCAGAATATATGAAGGACTTGGAGGTCCGTAGCAATATAGTGCCATATAGTGCCTTTTCATTCCGAAATATTGATCACTGAGCTGCAACCGTGTGTGTGTGTGTGGACCCGAATGTCCTTTGCTTTGCGCTTTGCATCTCCAACCACCTGGTTGGTACAAAAATTGTTTTTTGCTGCTTATATTTAGGACCCGGTTTGTTGAATTTGTTTGTGTTGCGTGTCTACATGGCTCACATATAACAACATACATCAAAATACAGCAGTATACAAAATAGCGAATATATCATTGTATTAATTCTGGAGGTCAAACCATTAAATAAACAACACACTGCGTAAAGGTCTACCTGGTTCTTCAAAGTGACCTTTTGATATCCCTGTTTGAGGTCACTTGGGCCTGTGAAAGGTCACTTAGGCACTCCAAAAAGGTCACTTTGAAGAAGCTGGTAGATGTACTTGTGTTTCATACCCCTTATCTTATGAATGTAGGCACTTCACACCAAGGGCGTCCCAACATACCTTTGATAGAACAATCCTGGTGTCAACAGATTACAGTATCAAACACATCCTTAGAAAGTAAAGGTCTTTGATTTTGTCGGGTGTTTTAATACCGACAGAGTGGTTTTGCCAAGTCGCCCACGGACGTCCGCGGGGCGAGCGTGGAGGCTATCGCAGTCCTGGACCCTTCGGGGGAGATTGCACCACTATGGCCCTGCGAGGTGGGCGAAGGTCCCGACTGTACTCCCCTGCAGATTCACATGGAACCTCCCAAAAAACCGCTGGGTTGGTATTCGAAGGAGGGTTTCTTAACCACCATGGGTGTTCCTTCTCAGGGTCGTTCGTTTGCGGGGGTGCACACACTTCAAGTGTTTTTTTGTTTTTTATTCCCTTTGGAGTTGATCTTGTGTAGCGACTCTGGCGACTTTGGCTTTGTTTTGAAACAAATCTGCCTGGGGCAGACTGGGGAGGCTGATAAATCGGATGTTTGGCCGCTGAAAGCTGGGACGACTGTTCCGGATCGAACAATTTGAACCTACCAGTTCCAAATGGATGGTTTTTGGGTCTCTAAGTGAGTGGATAATGGGCACCCCTATCCTCCAAGTTCGGCCCCCCTCTGGGAGTTTTTGGTTGGCTTATTGATTTTTGGGTGTTGATTGTTTTACGGTGTGTGTGTGTGTGTCCACCCCTGGACAAAGGGTTTCCTTCGACCACTCCAATCAGGCAGGGGCGTCAGGCTCGACACATCTACCTGACGCAACGAAGCTATGATGTGTCGAGGGAAGTGAGAGCTGATCACTCTCATGTACCTGCGAAGTTTTCCACAAGCTGCCACCCTACTTTTCCAAGGTTTGATTCATGGTTCTTTCATGATACCTTCCCCACAAACAGGTTTCCCACAGCTGCTTTCAGCCGCCGTCGTTCAGCCGCATTTCTGCAGACTTCAAAACAGCTTGTTCAAACATCTACAAGTCTTGCGGACTCTTCACCTTACCGTTCTCCACCTTCCTTCCCATCGTGGCAATTGAGTTAACTGAAAACCCAAGTTCGAAGTGTGTTCAGCTCAGTCTTCCCACGTGGGTGCTGGGTGTGATCCTCCGAAAGGAGGCGCTGAAATCAGACTGGAATTCACCGACCTTTCTTCTTCATTACTGACCCACGGTCTCAATTTTACCCTGAATTTTCTGATTTTCGAGCCGCCGGGCTATAAACGATGGAAGAGCAATCCTAAGTTTCCTGATCTTACAACCTTGCAATGTCATATTTTATCTGTTTCGGCTAAGTATTCACATGCCTGCGCTGCTAAGTATTCACAGGCCGGATGAATTCATCATGCACCCCCCCCCCCCCCTCCCTACCCCCAGGCCTCCGTTGCTATCCCACCCGCTACTCGGGAAACAGAAGGAAATCGCACTCAACACACTTGTGTGTTGGTGCCTTTCCTTCTGTTTCTCCTAGCTATTGCTAGCTACCCGGGCGGTTTAAGACGAATGTCCCGCTCGCCTTCTACTTTCGTTTAACTAAGTGGGCCTCGTAACTACACCTACTTTTCTTTCTTGCCCTCTTGGTCTGCTCTTGTTTCGTTGTTTTTTCTGTCTTTCTAAGGCTTTTTAGGTGTCTACTAGTTCTTCGTTGCGCCAACAATTTGGCGCCTTTTGTACAAATGTTCCCCTGGGAGTTAGGACGCTACTGGAGGCCCCTGGCCTTACTACTACTTTGACCGCGCCGAAAACGGCTCTGTGTGTGTGTGTCCACCCCTGGGCAAAAGGTTTTCTTCCACTGGTTCAACGGTAGGGGGTGTTTTGAAAAAGCGCCGAAGCCGGCGACCTGTGTGTGTCCACCCCTGGACAAAGGGTTTCCTTCGACCACTCCAATCAGGCAGGGGCGTCAGGCTCGACACATCTACCTGACGCAACGAAGCTATGATGTGTCGAGGGAAGTGAGAGCTGCCCTTAAGCCAAGGTTAGACTATTTCCTAGCTAATATCTATATCCTACTTGATATCTTATATCCTAACTATTATCTAAACCGATATCTTATTTTTTAGACTATTTTTAAGACTATTTTCAGGCATAAAAATAGTCTATTTCAAAATAGACTGTTTTTATAGTCTTTTTTTGAGGGAATCCTTTTTAATATAATTATGATTCTGATTCTGGTCAATTTTTTTGAAGAAACTTCATGTCTAGGCATGCCAGACAAAGTGCCAAAGACCAAGAAAGTGCCTAGAAAAGCTGCTTATAGATGTCACAAAGCCACAAGAAGCACAAGAAGCACACAGTGTTGCCAGAAGTATTGTCAATGTACAAAGCAAGGAGGCTGCTAGCTGCTTTTTCAATCCTCGCTCAACTTCTCCAGTTGGATTGACATTGCAAACCTGACTTTCTCGACTATCTTCTGTGTTTCTTTGAGGGGCTTCCATTCAGTCACATCACCCAAGACTATGGCCTGCCATGAAATTTGGAATGAAGAAAGACTGACTTTGGCTTGCCTTTTGTTTGTTCTACTCCAAAGCCTGTTGTTGAAGCCCCTCTGAAGCTGTTGAACCATGGCTGGTCAGCCACCATGTCATACTTCTTGGTGGTAGGGTTCTTCTTGAAGAGCTTGTTTATAATCTGAGTTTTCCACTTCCTTGGATCCTTCTGTTTTTTGCTCTCCTTGTGGAACATGTCCAGGATGTGACTGGGAATAGCATGTTGATCACACATCTTCTTCCATTTCTGGCCTTTTCCCTTGTCTCTGTATTCACCATCAGTGTCTTCCTCTTTGGACTTCGAACCACACCTTCTTCTGATCCTTCTCGATGTGCATCTTGTTCTTTTGAAGCCAGCCCTTGCTTCCACAGCTTGGCTTGGTCCATGATGGAACTCCTTTTTGATGGCTTGGGATCTGGCTTGGGCGCTGGCTTGGGTGGATCTGCTTTTGAAGGCTTCTTCAAGACAATCTTTGCCTTTGGGTCTTTGCTCCTAGGAGCAGCCTTAGCCTTTGCAGGCTTCTTCTTCACCGGGCCAGCATTCTTCTTGACTGTGTCATCCACTCCAAGGACACTTTCTGCTTCTGCTACCTCTGGGGTGGCTTGCACAGCATCTGAAGGGGCTTCGACATATGGCTCTTCTGGATTGTCAGTCTCCATGGCTGAAGCAGGTCGTTTCATTTTGCCCATTGTTGGATGTGAAAGTACTTTTAATTCATGTCTGCCATGGATGTGAATGCACATGCTTCAAGATGTGCTAGTTGGAAACTGATTGGAGCAAAGAAGCAAGATTAGCCAATGATTCTGAACTTGTGTTTGTTCATGTGCAATTGTGTTTAAAAAGTGCCTACAAAATGGAGTGCCTACATGATGGGTAAGTGCCTACAAAGTGCCTAAGTGCAAACAAAATGGAGTGCCTGAATACCTACAAAGTGCCTAAGTGCCTACCAAATGGAGTGCCTGGGAGCCTACAAAAAGCTACCAAAAGCGCTTAAGTGCATACAAAATTCAATGCAAAAGTTGACATTTTCTTACAACATCTCCAATGTACAAGTGGCAATTTCCACTACACAAGTGGCAATTGCCAGTTGGAAGTGGCAATTGCCACTTGTCAAGTGGCAATTGCCACTTGTCAAGTGGAAATTGCCACTTGTTTCCTTAAAAACAGCATGGGAAAAACGCCCTTTTTCCATCCAGAAGTCAAGGGCTGCCTCATTTTGAGGCTGCAGCTGGTCCAGGTGCTTGGCTCATATCCTTGGTGCCTTTTTGGTCTTTCTTGCCCTTTGGTGTTTTTGCCTTTGTGGGATGCAAATCTGCAGCTGTCTTTTTGCGCGCAGGCTTTCCAGCAGGTCGTTTTTTTGGCAATCTTGGGGCAATCCTGCTCCAGTGCATCTTCCAAAGCCTTTGCAACAAATAGTGGTTGCGTTCTACATCCTTCAAGACCTGGCTTTTTTTGGGCGGCTGCTCAGCTTCAGAGCAAGATGAAGAAGACCAGGGCTTACCCACAAACATGCCACCGATGATGGTTCCTTGGCCAGGATTCTCCGGAAGATCGATTGCCTGGAGGCTGGCAGTGATGTAGGAAGTGGAGTGGAGCTGCTGGAAGGGTTGTAAACTACCAAGCTGTCTCACCAACAGTGCTTTGACCCTCCTCTGTTTCAACAGGTTGGGACAAGGCAAGAACCCCAGGACTTCATCCAAAGCCCTTTTTTCTTGGTCAGACATCCTCCTCACCAAGGACATGTAACAATCCCTGTCTTGCTTTGCCTTCCTGAACTGGCTCAGAAATACACTGACCATTTGATCAGAAGTGTCGATACAATCACACACCTCTCTGTTTTGGTTCTTGACTGTGATCTTCTTTGCTTCAAAGAGCTTCTGCAAGGCAAGCTTTACTTTCTTGCTGGAAGGACAGCATTTCTAGCTTCTTTGACCAAATCATATGCAAGGGGTGACACCCAAGGCTTCTTGTCAGGCACTGACAATGAAGTCTCCAAATCTTTGGCGCCACACCTTTTCAAATGGTTCTCGAAGGCCAGCATCAAAGGTTGCACACCAATTGCAGGATCCACTGTTGCTCTTGCGACTATGGGCATGGGTAAAAGCAAGAGGCTTACAACTGTGGTGACACCAGATTGGATATATGACCAGCAATGACCAGAATGTGACACCAGAAAACTTTCACATAATTGTGCATCAAATGACCAGGAATGTGAGCTCCAAGCAGAGAGCTTCAACATATTTGAGCTGTCATGTTGTCTGGAAGCCTTCTAAACTTAATCTGCTGAGCCCATATTCATTGGCATATTACATCTGTCAAGCTCAGAAAGATGGCTTCAGTGCCTACTAAACATGCAGAGTACCTATACACAAACATATCAAAGTGCCTACATGTCACCCAAATGTTTTGCAAAAAATATTACAAACGTTCCTGCAACACTAAAGAAATAATATATCAAAAACAAAATAAACATAGTCTATTTATATAAATAGACTATTTTCAAGGAAGGTCGATTTTAGATATAGTTAAAAAATAGTCTATTGCATTCCTGACTAATAGTCAGGGTATAACCCGTTAGATATTAGTTAGGAAATAGTCTTACCTTGGCTTAAGGGTGATCACTCTCATGTACCTGCGAAGTTTTCCACAAGCTGTCACCCTACTTTTCCAAGGTTTGATTCATGGTTCTTTCATGATACCTTCCCCACAAACAGGTTTCCCACAGCTGCTTTCAGCCGCCGTCGTTCAGCCGCATTTCTGCAGACTTCAAAACAGCTTGTTCAAACATCTACAAGTCTTGCGGACTCTTCACCTTACCGTTCTCCACCTTCCAATTGAGTTAACTGAAAACCCAAGTTCGAAGTGTGTTTGTTGTCCGATAATCCAGGATAGCCGGAGACACTATAAGGAATCACAATAAGCTAAATTTTTACTTTGCTGTCATTGTAGTGATGCTACATCTTGGGTCAATTCCAACCTATGCCATGTACTGAGTACTGAGTACTGTTCGGTCAAACATGTCGTGGGATGTTGCAGGTATAAGGAATGTTCATGACTGGAAGAAAGGTACAGACTGGCCTTAAAGTGCCCTTTGGCATGGCATGTTGGACCTCATTGCATTGCTTTCGGAGCAGTTCACTCAACCCCTCCAGGTTTGCCAAAGCTGGTTGGCCAAGATTCGAGAACAAAACCCCAGGACGGTCAGTGATGAAGCTGGGATCTTGGGAAGTTGGAGATGACGGCAGGTATGTCTTTTTGTTCATCACCTGTTCTTCTTGTCTCCACGCAGTCTTAACTTTTCCTTTTAGCCATCAGTTTTGTTGGCAAAACAACGATCACCAGGGATTTGTTGAAGAATCTAGTCAGACGTGGGAGATGTCACCAAGGATATGGGTGTGCACTGGTTTGGTGCCATAGCCATGTAATTATGGACCATGAAGGGTTTATGTAAGTGTCAGCGATGATTGTTGCCAGACTTTGACCATCACGGCACATGAGATAGCCTTCATTTGTATGTCGATCTTGGAGAGGAAGGTGTAGAGTGGAAATGGGGAGGTGTCGTATGTGAGGTTTTGAAGCTTGAAGACCCAACACCCAGCATCACCCAGTAGGTTGTTTTTTTGCGCCATCTTCACCTTCACCCCCAACACAACACATCTTGCCGCCAGGATCAGTGTGGTCGCTTTTCCATGCAAAGACCATGAGTTTAAGACCATCCTGGTCCAAAGGAATGGCAAAGACGTCCGACCACCCACTTGTGTGAGTCAGCCCCTTGGCGAGGGACAGTTCGGAACTTGGTGTTGTTGGTCGAGTGGGAACTCGGAGAGGCAGCGTCAAACGACACACGATGTGACTTGGCACCACTTGTGTTCGGTTCATACGTGTGGCGCATAGGGGTTGTTGAAGGAAACCCAAACACCCCCGAACCCAAATCAAGCCAGGCTCCTAGCCTGGCGGTTTGACCGAAGCCCAAGAAAATGACGGTGTTCCGTTTGGAGACCATCAAAGACGGTGTTTCTACTCGGCCCGGAGCGAAGCGACGAGGTTGGGACGTTGCTTCGCCACTTTTTCAGTACTCGTAGCTGACAGGACGTGTTCTGGAAACACGCAGAACAGAGGTTGGGGTGATAGTTGTCAGCTACAACTGCAGTGTTTTTGCTTTGTGTTTGCATAAAATTTAGATGTTCTCAGAACCCACTGTGGCGGGAACACTTTGAAAACCAAGCGAAACATTCTTACATTGTTTTTGCAATTGTTTAATTGTTTAAAACATTGTTTATAACATTGTTATATTGTTTCAAACATTGTTTATAACATTGTTATATTGTTTAAAACATTGTTTATAACATTGTTGTATTGTTTAAAACATTGTTTATAATATTGTTATATTGTTTAAAACATTGTTTACAACATTGTTGTATTGTTTATAACATTGTTTAAAACATTGTTATATTGTTTAAAACATTGTTTATAACATTGTTACATTGTTTAAAAGATTGTTATATTGTTTAAAGCATTGTTTATAACATTGTTACATTGTTCAAAACTTTGTTTATAACATTGTTTTCGTTCGAAACATTGTTTATAACATTGTATACAACATTGTTAAACTGTTTGAAACATATGATGTATTGAACCTTGAGAAAAAGGTTGCTGTAGACTTTTTGTTTGTTCAAACAGTTTGTTCCTTAGTCATAGGCTAGTAAACAGTTTGCTCGCCTCTGAAAACCTCTTCACTTCAACGATTTGAACACTCCATGCTGCCACCAAGCTTTCAAGCCACAACAGCCCAAGCGCGCCGCAACGTTGCCATGACATACTTGTATTGTTGGTTCTGCTTGATGGACATGTTTACACCCTACCTGCAGCCAAGTGATGCAGCACGGACACACCTACTGGCTCGGGATTGCGAATGTGACTTCTTGGGCACTCCCTCGCCAGAGCCTAAGGCCAAGAGGCAAAGGTTGGGCCCAGTGGATTTCACCCCACCCAAAGAGCCAAAGAAGTGATGAATGCTGATCAGCTTGCTGACATTGCTAGGCGATATGGGGGTGGCCACAGGCCTTGTGTGCCCAGACGTGCCCAGAGCGGCCACAGGCCTCGTCCGAGCGGCCACGGGCGTGGTCCGAGCTTCAGGCACAAAAGCCGCGCTGCTTTGCTCCGATTGTTGGTGGCTTCTTTTCGCAGTGTTGCAAGTGCTGCCAGCTTGGAGCTGTGTGACCTGCTTCTTGAAACAGCAGACACTGTCCAGGTTCCAGCTTGGATTCCACTGGTTGGGCTTTATGGTCCTGTGCTGACTTGGAGAGCAGAAAGATTGCGCACAACCAGGCGTTGTCTTCTAACAATTTTGGGCCAGCTTTGGCGGAAGCTTCTTGAGCCTTGGGGCCGCTACCCATGGCCACTGGCCGAGTTGCCAGCCTTGAGCCCGGAACTCCAACAAGAAAAGGCGCGCCAATTCTTTGGTGAGAGGGATTGTTGCTTGGATAATTTCAGCTTGCAGCTGAAAGAGCTCATCCAGAACGAGGAAACCTTACTCGTTAAATGTTTTCAAAACCTCCGGTGATGGGGACGCCAAAAAAACAAGCGAAATATTCTTTTGAGGTCGGAAATTGTTTCAACAATTGTTCTGACAATTGTTTTAATTGTTTTCTTTTGTGGAAACAATTTATTGAAAGTTGTTTGCATTTGTGTGTTTTGTTGCTGCTGTGCTACCGCTTCTAGACTCTGGTCCAAGAAGGGTATTAGAACCACGACAGGATGTGTTTTCTTCCATGGCAGAAGAGGTCAGGTATGTTCCCACACTGGACATTCAGGATTTCAATCCAATGTGTTTTCATGACCACCGCTATGCTTTTGCAATGTGCAAGTGCATTTGCTTGGAGACGCCATGGTTTGCAGCTCTATGTGTGTTTGCGCTGATTGGCTGGTGCACTGTGTGCTACTTCTTTTGTGAGCGTTTCAGCCCCCTGCGCTCCCGCATAGAGGCATCATATAGTGATGCCTCTGAGGGGTTCATGTCTGCTGATGATGCAGGCAACTGAACACTCAATTCATGTTGGCGTTGGCCTCAGGCCAGGTTTTATTCGGCCTCAGGCCAGGTTCACGGGCACAGAATTTACAAGCTTCAGCCGCAGTTTGCGGCCTGAAAGTCCAGACAGCATGGACGGCGCTCCTTTGCTGCGGGCGCCGCTGTGGCCTGTGTGCCGTCCAGATTCCTGCCCACATTGTTTGACCCCGCAAGCCTTTGCGTATTTCCAGCGGTTGCATGCCTTTTTCCTTGAAGTGATTCTACGAAAGGGTCCCAAACCAACTGCTCTTTCAGAGGAGCCATTGGTGTTAGAGTTTAGGTCGCCAACAGCTCTTCCGTACCATGTGGCCGTTGCTTACTCTACAAGGAAAAAACCTATCCAGGCAGCGCTCTTAGAGTAGAAAGAGCTAGATGATGGTTCTGCCCCCCAGACATCTGCCAAGTGTTGGCTTGCGAGAAGAGCCTTGATGGACATCTAACCCTGAAGAGCGATGTCCAGGTGTGCGTTCACTGCGCCACCAAAGCAGAGGACTGGCGCATTTCAGCGCTTGGCGTTGGCCCTGCCAAGCGACTGAGCCATTTTGACATTTTATGGAAGGAGGCGGTCGAGCGCAAGTCGCTTGAAAGGACAATGGATGAGGAGAAAAAGCTAAAGCTGGCCATGTCCGCCTTGAAAGCTTTGAACCAAAAGCCACTTCCGAAAAAAAGGGCAGCGCGCTCCAGCCTGGCCAGCAGTTTCGCTAAGATGGCCAGACGAGACATGTCCCCTAGCCCAAGTCACGGTGGGTCTTCTCAGTCTGACTCAGATACTGACAATGAGCTTGAGGCTGCGCCAGAGGCGAAACCTTCTGAGCCAGGGCTCGGGCCACCGGCCAGGTCGACTGAAGTAGAGAGAGAGACTGGCTCAGCCATGCCTTCTGAGCCAGCACTTGGGCCACTGGCCGCGCCAAGGCCCAAAGACAGGCATAATGTTCGACGTGCTAGTGTTTGGGGCACTAACCCATCCTTTCAAATCGCACCAATCCACGCAGCTGGGAGCAAAGAGCCCACAGGATGGGGTGCTATTTGTGGGCGCCACACAGACACCAACCGCCCTGGCCTACAGTGCAAAAAGGCTATGTCAAAGTCTGGCCTGTCAGACGCTGAGTGTCAACTCAGACTGAAAAGGTGGTTGGTAAGTGGTCTTGATGCGACGTCTTGGGGGAGCAACAAGCGCGATTGCCACGTTAGCATGGGTGGGATCCAGCTGGCCCAATTTGCAGATGGCCTGGATTCAGAAGCCTTGGACGCCCTTGTGGGCCATGTAGCTTGATTGGGCGAGTGGTTTCAAAAAGCGAGGGCCACCTGTCAGTGTCAGCGGTTGGCTTCCAAAAGTCACAAGCCAAACGTCACCAAGATTTGTTAGAATGTTTGAAACATTTCGAACAATTTCATATCAATTTTAGAAACAATGTAACAATTTTAGATCCGTACACAACTCATGGTTTTCCGTACACAACTCATTGTTTTCCGTACACAACTCATGGTTTTCCGTACACATCACATTCTTACATTGTTTTCGCAATTGTTTGCGATATTGTTTGAATGTTTTAGACATATTTTCTGCAATTTGTGCAATCGCTCTCACTCAAGTGGCCACCAGCCTTTTGACAAGCCTTGGCCCTTGGCCAGCCATGGCGAGCACTTCAGAGAGTTCTGAAAGTGGCGAGAGTGAACAGCCAGCTGCTGAAGACGCCTGTGTAGACAGTCCTCGGCCACAGGCCGGGTTGCCAAGGCCACAGGCCAGGAGTGGGCGAGCCTCAACAGCAGCTTCCTCGGCATGTGGCCTTGCCCGACCTTGCGGAAGCCACGTTGCTGCCAGTTGTGCAATGGCCGCTCCACTGACGAGTCCCCCTTAGAGTACCCCACTGATGAGATCTTCCCTGAGGTGGAAGGACGCCTGCCTTGGCGCAGCTACGAGAAAGCGAAAGAGGAAGACTCTGGGGAGACTGTCCGCGTTCCAAGTGGCAGGCTGTGCCTGATATGTTTTAACGTATATCGGGCCCTGGGTATCCTGGCTAAGGTTGCTTAAAGCCCCCACCGTTTTTTAAAGCAACCTGTGCCTTTGCCCAAGGCATTTGAGTAGGCCCCCCAGTCCTAAGGCAAGCAGACCAAAAAGGCAGCAGGCCCCAGTCCTAAGGCCTTCACAAGGAGCATAAGAGCGTGGATGACTACTACAAGCACGTGTCGAAGAAGGCAAACCAGAATGATCATAGAGGGTTTCTAGCCTCCCGCAAAGCCTGGGTCCGACAGCACAATGAAGGCGGGCCCACTCGCAAACGCCTTCAGAGCAAGAAGGAGCTCCAGGAAGCCTTGAAGCAAATGCAGATGACCAGAAGCACAGGTGGCAAATTTAGGCCTGGTTGATTTCATCCGGAATGTTAACAAAGGAGGAGCCTCGGAGTGCTTGTTCTGTAACCCTCCTCCAGAGAAATGATCGCCCCCAAGAAACAGTTTGTTACTCAGGAGGCATGGGACTCCCAACAGTATGGGGACTACGACTCCACCAAGGAAGTGATAGAGCGCCTCTGGGGTAGAGATGTGAAAGGAATTTGGATTCATGCTGGCAAGAAGGGTGTGTATGACTACGAAGAGTACCAGGACTCAGCCCTGCAGGAGTCTGAGTTGGTTCACGACAGTCGCACAGGCTTAGACGAAGGCCTTGCTAGGAAGAGGAAAGCAGCTTTGGAGCAGATCAATCAAGGGTCCCTGCAGCGAGACAAAATGGCAGTGGAAAGCAAAGGCTCTGAGCTCAGTCTGGAAGGAGTCCTCGACGCCTTGCGCCAGGGAGGCTACCAGCCGAGTTCGCCCAAATCAAACCTTGCGGCCGCTCACCAGGCAGCAGTCGAAGACAGTCAGGATGACTCAAGCTCAGAAGGCACTAAAAGCAGCAGTGGATCAGAAAAAAATGGATTGTCTGCTTCCTTTTTTGGCCCCAGCAAACCAAAACAACATCAGGCTCCAGCAAACCTTGACGCAAAGAAGAAGCCAGGTAGACGCGGCGAGCAGCAAGCCAGCAATCCAGCCACAGCCAGCAGCAAGCCCTCAACCAGCAGGCCTTCAACAGCGGCCACAGGCCAGGATCGCAACAGCCTGGCCCAAGAGGTCGTGATGCCAAAGGGAAGGCGTCGTCATCATCAACAGGCTTTGGGAAGCAGGGCAGCCAGGACAGTGGAAACACACTGCTTGCAGATGGGCGAGCCCAAAGGGGCCTTGCGCAACCTGCAGGACAAAGTTGTTGAACTGAAGTCCAAGTTGGCAAAGGTGAGGGTCGATGACGCAGTGCCAGAGCCTGACGCCCACTCCCAAGCTACCTTCAAGCAGAGCTGTGCCGATCGAATTGCTGAAGTCAAGTCCATTGGCAGACAGGCCAGGGAACACAGCAAGCGAATGGACAAAAGCTCCAACAGGGACTTGTTCGACAATGAACTCAAAGACCTCGACTCCCTAGAGGCAGCAGCTTTGGCTTTCCAGAACCTGTTCACAGCAGTATCAAGCCCAACTTCTTCTCCAGAGTCTGTGGTCACGTCTGTTGAGGAGAGCAGCAAGCACCTGGAACTGTTGGGCGTTGAATCTTTGGGAACCTGCTATACTTTGAGGCTAGCTTTAGCCAAAGCTGCTCAGAATTGCCTCTACAGTGAGTATGACAAGTTTTATGAGCAGTCCTGCTGAGCAAGCCTTCTATGAAGAGCTTGCAAGCTGCCATAGGGTCAGAGCAACTTGGTGAGTTTGTCTTGGCAGAGATTGAAAGCCGTATTCTCCTGAACCTGAGAGCTGTCAAGGCTTTGGACGTGGAGGCTTTGTCAGCTGGCAAAGAGAATGTAGCCCCAAACAGCTGGCGCCGACCATGCTGCCAGGGCAGCAGCTGTGGATGGAGTCGCGCCAGCGGCTCATGGTAGGTGAGGAAGCTCTGATGTTTCAAGGCTTTCCCATTTTGCTCCTCCAAGACCTTCAAGATAAATGCAGCCTGCCTGCTGCTAGCTCTTCTCATTCTTTCCTCCAAGACCTTGCCGGCAACGCTATGGCGCTCCCAGTGGCTATGGCTATTTTCCAAGCTGGGGTCGCGTCCCTCCCATGGATTCCTCGACGAGACAATGCAAGTGATCCCGGCTCAGAAGATGTGGCAACTGCCTTGGCTGCAGTGGCTTTGTTGAAGCAACGGCAGCCAAGGCCACTGGCCAGGTAGTGGAGATTCCATGGCTGCACTGGCTTTGTTGAAGAAACGGCAGCCAAGGCCACTGGCCAGGTAGGGAGATGGGCTAAGGCTAAGGTTTTGCTTGATGACTTGCTGGCCGCCAGTTTGAATGAAAAAGTGCGTTCGCTGATTGGCGCCGTTCGCTGATTCGGTCATGTTTGTAAAGCATGCTTTCTCCACATGTTCAAACAATAACGACAAGTATTTCAAACTTACAAACCGCTATATATCCAAATGATCCAACTGATTTCACAATTTAAGTGGCAATTTGACGATCTTTCCAATGCTACAAACGATGCTTGAAACAATCAAACAATTTTAGAAACAGTTTGTGAAACACTTAAGCAAGTTTAGAAACAATTTTAGAAACAATTAAATAACTTTAGAACAATTTTAGAAACAATTAAACAATTTTAGAAACATTTTTAGAAACAATTAAACAATGTTCGAACAATGTTACAAACAATTAAAATAACTTTAGAAACAGTTTTAGAAACAATTAAACAATTTTAGAACAATTTTACAAACAATTAAAACAATTTTAGAACAACTTTACAAACAATTAAAACAATTTTAGAAACAGTTTTAGAAACAATTAAACAATTTTGGAAACAACCTAAGAATGTTAGAGGTGTGCAGGGGATGCCTGGAACCTCAGAGCCTTTAAAAACATCTAACATAAAATCATCTATATATAGTTTGCATGGTTGGTTACGGTGTGGCACCAAGCCTTTGCATGGAAAAAAAGACAACGCACAATCATTTAAGACCGCATATAGTTCTATAGTACCATCACACATGTGTATTGGTTGAAGTAATTGTAAAGAATAGATGTCGAGACGCATGAATCAGACTCTCAAACCAGAACCGCTTGAAAAGGACACATGTCCTGTGGTTTGCTCTTGGATTGTCTTGAAAACTAAATGACGCAGACGACGACAGACTACTCGACACTGTCAAAAAGGCCAATTTAATTTCAGTGACTTGGAATCGTTTTGGTATTTTTGTTTATTTTTGTCCTTTCTAGTAAAGCCCGGTTTCAGGTTGGTCCAGGAGCACATGGGTGAGGCACGACAATAGTGTGAAGCCCTAGCAAACACTGCCTATAGTCAAGGAAAACGAGCCAAGCCTATGACTTCTCAGGAAGAGCAGCCAATTCAGCAAGCATGTCTTGGAGCACACATGAGCCGCGATTTTTCTTCGATCCGAAGGAGAGGAGAGCTGAATCGGAAGTGAGACACCCCAGACTGACCTCCGAAAAAGCTTTCGGATGGGGTGAAGTTTACCAGGCTTCCATGCGTAGATACCCATGACTTGCCCACAAATAGGCTGGCTCAGTGGTGCGCAAGCACAGTAGCGAGCTGTAAAGAGGAGTGATTGATACTCAAGACATCTCAAGACCCTTTTGCGAGAATGTATTTCAATCAACTATACAATCTACGATCGCAGATGCCAAAATGTCTTGGATGTTTGCCAGCGGTTACGGGTGCTAAAACAATGCGAGCATGTATAATTAATAGACAAAGAGCCACAGCTTGCTCCGATATACTTGGTCATGAGCTAATTGGAGAAGCGTGGCCGGCCTACGTGCAAGATCATTCGTGACCAAGTGTTTTGTCCAAAAAACGAACGTAGATGGCTTCTTGACGAACGGGAATGAGGGAATGGATGCACATGCGCTTGAATTCGTGGTCCATGACATGGCTGCGAGTTTTCACTGTGATGGTGCATCTCCATTGTCTGAGGGCAGCGGCGCCGTTTTGTTTGCTTCCCTTATTCTGGAGTAGGAATCAAGAAGCCAGATTTTCCAAGAGCCTGTGGTCAAGAGCCACCTTTCCTAGCAACCGCAGAGGCGTTGAAGGTGTGCAACGATTCCACCTGGAGCTCCTGGAGAATTCTGCCCCAACAGTCTCCCAGGCCATCTATGCATGGAATAGCTACCCCATTTATGACCTAATAACTCATACAGTAATTACATGGATGGATTGTTGGGGAGATGAGGTTGCTTGACTAAGACTATGACAATTGTCTGGGCACAAGCCATCGGTGGAAGACAACTTCTCAGTCTTAGAGAGTTGCTGTTGGTGTCCTTCACCGGTCGAGAGAGATGAATCTCACGATATAATTCCTTGCTGCAAAAGCAAGTTTTCCCCAATCAGATCGACTGATGTGCACAAAAAAGGGAGACCCCAGAGATTCGTTGGGTCAACAGAAGTGATAATATGTACTAGTCCATGTGTGGATCTTTGCCGTTCTCTTGAGGCCAGGCTCAAAGACTGCTGTTCAGCTTAGCTGGGTCAGGAGAACAGGACCGACACGATCGACACGTGGAGTTGGCGAACGAGTGGAGTCGAAGCGAGGAAACACATCGGTGGAGTAGAAGGAGTAGCATTCCAAAGTGCAGCGTCGTGAAAGCCACTCACAGAGAGATTCACTGTAGCAGCTCTATCACTGTAGAACTCTGGCAGCTGACCCAGGACCAAAATCAGGCTGTAAAATAAATCTATCGTGGCAGCTCTACAATGATCCAACAAAATTGTTTCGGATATTAATGGTGTTCAATGCTCATCAGAAACGAGGCCTCTGACGCAGGAACACCCTGCCCAAAACGCAGACACGCTTTCTGACCTTGGTTCCTCAAAGAATGAGCTGAGATTTGCAAAGCCACATGCACATATGTGGCGATAGTCAAAGGTCCGGTGTGTGAAGAAAGAGAGAGAGAGAGAGGGCTACAGCGCTCCGCGCTCCCATGTTTATTGCTTTGACCGACCGACCGACCGACCAACCAACCACTTTGTTCACTATTCATCAAGACCGGCTGCCACGGCATCGGCTCGGAACTGAACGTTTGCGGCCAAAGCTCACGCCGCCCTTCAGGCATCGGTGAGACGGACGCGCTCAGAGACTGGACGCGTCAACTGATCAACATGTGGGAATGTGTGTATTCCATGAAACGTGGTGTTCGAAGGAGGACATTTAAGGACAATAAACGACCCAAGTCCTTGCAAGTCCAATTTAAGTGAGGTGGGACCCGCATGTGATGGACATGTCAAAAGCAGTGGACTAACCCATGGGTGTATGTTTGTGCCATTTTGATGTAGAGGTGAAACACATTGCGTGTCACACGTTTGGACATGTTGTGTTTGTGTGATCTATGTGGACCACTGTTTTCGCTGCGAACTTCCAGATGGCGCCGCTGCCCCAAGTGCATGCGGAGCGCGGCAGGGGTGCCAAGTCCGACCGGCACGGGCGCCATTCCTTCAGTCAGACTCCAAAACAAGACTCCGATTCAGATGAAGATCTGATATTTTCCAACTCCAGATTCAGATGAAGATCTTATTCATCTGAAAAAGACAAAAGCAATCCCAAGTCCCAAGGATTCAACCCCCCCCCAAATCCCCCCGACTCCGCTTCAGACTCCAAGTCACTCCGCTTCAGCGATCGGATCCACCGGTCCACCGAGGCCACGAGGTGCTGAGCCCAGGCGAGACCGACGAGACCGAGACGTCGCCACGTGACCGGTTCCCACCGGTGGACAGAGGCGACCGGTGAATCCGATTCTACCGAGCTGCTAGAGGCAACGACAGAATATTGGTATCCAATCCCAGGCCGATGGATTGGAGGAAGGTTAGCAGTCCAGGTTCGCACCATGACCCGGAAGATCGGGGTCAGACGGCCAGACACTCGGACCCCGGAAGATCACACTGGACTCCGGAGTCGCCGCGCGGATGAAGCGTTTGTCATCAAACCGCTCTATTACATGTTGTTTCATGTTTTTTGGAACAAACATAGACGAGATAAGAAAGAAGCGGTGGATAATTTCAAAGCTAGAACAGACGTTTAAAGCTCGTATTCAACACGTTTCCAATGATTGAACACAGTTACGCAGAAACAAAAAGACATCTCAATCTCACGTCCCAACACAGCACACCTGCGCGTTAGTGGACACCGCTGCCAATGTTTGTGTGCTTTGTTTCGGTGTTGCTCATGAACACTTCACTTAAGCTCCTCAAGTTATAAAGCGTAAGGACCGTTCAGATGTTCGTCCCGCAAGATGAATAGACCTTTTGCAAAGTTGTACCGGAACCTGATGTTGTTCTTTTCTTCCATCATACTGTACTCTTCTGTCGGCTCATCCTACAAGACCTATACAAGACATATAAGAAGACCCGGGCGCATTCAGAGGGTGGACCTGATATAGGACATTTGCATGACACCTGCATCAGGGTGAACGTGGGCTGACCCAAAAAACCAATGCCCTCAAAGCCTGCAAAGCCACCACAACTGCCAGGACGCAGCACCGGGCGATGTCCTGTCCTTACATAGCACGGCTTAGCTTTCCCGCTCTAGCAGGGCCGTCTAGTCCGACTCCTTTGAGGTCATCAAGGCCTTTCGGCACGAAGACCGACCATCGATATGCGACTGGAATCGTGACGTAGATACACTTTTCATTGATTTGCCCCATATGACTCATGACCCTATATAATGTATAAGCCATTCCATACCATGGATGGTTTGGGTCACCACCGAAACCGTGCTCCCTCCCATCGTCCCGCCCAAGAGGTGACCCGCTCCGTGGCGTCCAGGACGCGTAGGCGCCGACCCGGTGCTGTCGGCGCTGCAGAGATATCGCGAGGCGGCGGGCAGCAGCTTCCATCCAACCCAGACCGAGGCAGGTCCTTTTCGGGTTTCGCTGCCAGCTGCTGGAGGTGGTCCCGGTCGGCTGGAGGTGGTCCTAAGTCCAATAGCGGTGAGTTGGTGGGTCCTGATGAATCAGAGAAGATACCCTCCGACACACACAGCCAATGGAAGTGGATAGTTAGTCAACCTGTTGAAGTTGTTTTTCTAAACTAAATTCCACTTAAGTGTCAGCAAGTCCAAGTTATGGTTGCGAACAGGTTGTGCAGGCCACTGCGGATGGGGCCCAATGTTCCAACCAGATTATTTCCACACGCACAGAAAAAGGATAACGGGATACCTGTTAAAGACATAGATAGTACTTCCACGGGCACGATTGACTCTGTTCACTTTCTGAGGCCACAAGTAACAACACGACATTGACTGCATCATCTTCTGCACAACAACGTTCATACTAGTAGGCTAGGTTACTTGGGATACCCATGGTTATCCCTCAAAATTCTACCAGTGATCCGCTGGAGCCAGCATCACAGCAGCTACTGATTCTACCTGGCGAAAAGATGACTCTTGTTGGAATCTGCTGTTCTTCACTGGAGGTCCAACTGGAAGAGGTTGAAGTGGAAGCTTCCCAGGGGAGGCGAGGCGTGTTCTGGCGTGCGAGGCGCGAGTGAAACAACACTCTCAGGGTGAAGCAGTGAAGCATATTGAATCATGGGTTTTGTGAACGTTCTAAATATAGTATTAGAACTTATATGATCCATATATAGTTTGATACATGCTAAGCATTTATGAAGGGCACTGTTTTCAGGTAAATCAGGTGTGATCCTAGAATGGTCGATCCTTGAACTAAAGTGATAGTTTCCCCTTGCACCTTTAAACTTCTTCCGAATATATCTGAATCTTTCTGACTGGTGCTTAGTAGGGAATGAGAGAATGACCCCTCACTATAGATACCATAGGATCCATTCCCTCATTCTTTACTAAGCATCAGTCAGCTTTTGTTTGTTCGACAGTTTTGGGATCATTATCGAAAGTTCCAAGCCACATGTCGAGTGCAGTGTGGGTCGTGTGGGTCAGTCGACAGCTGAAGTTCTACGAGTCGATGAGTCGTCGTTTGGACTCCAGCCGGTGTGCCGGTCAACCCCAAACGGTCGAAAACGAAGAGTAGGACCAGAAGACACGGACCGATCATCGTTCACTGGCTGCTGGGGCGGTGAACTGCTTTGTTTCATGTGTTTGTCTCCTTTTGGTGCAAGTCACGGCCACAGAGGTCTTGAAAGACGTATATTCTTTGCCAAGGCATTCTACTAGACTGATTTGAACTGCTCTGCACTGATCAGAGTGTTATCCTTACCTTCCAAAACGACGGACCAGTCGGACCCGCAGGTTTGTGCTGAGCTCCCCTGTTTCGGAGAATCCCAAGGCCGAGCGTCGTTTTCATCACGTCACTCGTGGCCGGCTGGAGTTGGTGATGGCCCGTTTTGGGGACGGGAACCGCGGGGCGGGAAGCTGGGGAAGTTGGCACCAAACACTGAGGTGAGGAACCGGTTGGAGCTTCCACCACTCAACCTATCCCGGTGTTGTGTTTGAAGCTCGTGAGCTCTTGATAGGAAGCCAACAAAACAAATCAGACAATGATAATGGCGTTCAAACAGGTGAGCAAAAAAAACACGGCTACAAAGCTCCCTCACTGTACTCACTCACCAAACTAGGCAAAAGAACCACACTGCTTGGGCA